CCGCCTCGCTCTCCTCGCCTCTCCTCTCTCCTCCGAGGCTCTCCGCACCCCTCCCCATCTCCTGCCTCCGCGGCGCGCGGTTATCTGTTTAATAAACAGGCGAGCCCCTTGCCAGGTGCTGTAGGTACCGAGACGGACAACGCCGTTCTCGCGGTTGAGTCAGACAGGTAACCAGTAGCGCGGCGAAGAAGAGACTTTGTAGGATGTCATTGTAGTGCGAGACTAGGTAGGCCATTCTCTTGCCAAGCGGGGATGTCGGGGAAGGCTTTTTCCAGTAACTTGATGCAGAAAAGATGTGGAAAGGACATTGCAGGCGGACAGAGCCACAGGTACAGAGCGGGAGGTCAGGAGTTGCAAGGCGGGTTCCTGGAATGCTCTAGGTCCTGTCTGGCGGAAGCAGAGTGTCTGTGCAGGGAAGGCTGGAGAAGGTAGGGGATTTGTAAGCGGAAGTAAGGAGTTTGAACTTTATAATGAAGGGATTGAGAACCTTTGAAAGACTTTAAGTGGCAAATTAACCTTATAAGATTCTAAGCTAGAAAGAGACCTCTGGCATCCTGGTGGTGAATGGGTTGGATGGGGCAGGTTGTAGGCAGGGAGACAGGTTGGCACAAACCAGTTGACTTAAGATGGTTTGGATTATGGCCTGCCTGCTAAGTTCTTGCTGTTATTAGCTCCCAGTCACTTCTTCTGTGTAATTTTTTTCTCACATGCTCCAATACCCATTCTAGCACAAAGCTTCCCTCCAGTAAGTATTCCGTGTCTCAGACCTACTGGAACTGAGATACTGTACTTTACCTATGTCTCGTATTTTGTATCACTTTAACTGCTCAAAGTAGTGCGTATTACGCTGTTTGCCAGGCACTAGTCCAAGCATTTTGTAAGCGTTGGCTCCTTTAATCCTCACAGCTACCCGCTGAGATAGATACTGTTAATTTCCTCCCATTACAGCTGAGGAAACTCAGGTACAGAGAGGTTGAATAACTTTTCAAGGCTATATTGCTAGTAAGTGACAGAGCCAGGGTTTGAACCCAAGGAATCTAGTTCCAGCATTCCTGCCCTAAACCACAGTTACCTGTTGTCTCTATAAAATTAGCTCCTGTGTTAGTTTCCTAGGGCTGCCATAAAAATAAAAATAAAAAACACAAACCGGGTGGCTTAAAACAACAGAAATTTATTGTTTCACAGTTCTGGAGGCTAGAAGTCTGAGATCGAGGTGTTGGCCCATCGGTGCTCTCTGCAGCTTCTAGAAGAGTCTTCTTTTCCTCTTCCAGCTTCTGGTAACCCCAGGTGTTCCTTTGCTTAACTCCAATCTCTGCCTTCATCTTTACATAGTGTTCTCCCTGTGCCTCTGTATCTTCACATGTTCTTATAAGGATACTAGTCGTATTGGATTAGGAGCCACTCTACTCCAGTATGACCTCACCTTAACTAATTACATCTGAAGAGGCCATATTTCTAAATAAGGTCACATTCTGAGGTACAGGCATACCTCCTTTTATTGAGCTTTACTTACTGTGCTTCACAGATGTTGCGTTTTTTACAAATTGAAGGCAAGACCCTCCACCTGCAAAAGATTACTGTTTGCTTTATTGTGGTGGTCTGGAGCTGAACCTGCAATATCTCTGAAGTATGCCCGTACTGAGGGGTTAGGACTTCAGTGTATCTTTAATTTTGGTAGTTGTAATTAAACCAGTAACAGCTCTTAATGGGTATTTGTTGTAAAACTGTATTTGTTAACCATCAAGTGTTTTCTGTACAGAGTTTACAAAGATGGATGAGAGGTAATGTTTTCAGAATCAGAATTATCCTTGAGGCACTTGTTGATTTTTACCCCAACCTGTGTGACTTAATGACGGACTGAGAAAGGGGTCTTAAAAACTTTCCAACTATTAACAGTGTATATCTTATTTTCTAAATAATGACATCATACCTGTGAGCATATGCACACACTCCATCAGGATTGCTTATCCCTTAATGAAGTAAATGTCTGACATTCTGAGAAACTGTGAAATGATGGTAGAGTTTGAGTTTATTAAATATTTTCCTAAAGATATTTTATGTAATACTTAACAATTCTATAAAGAGAAAATGAGGTGTGGTGTATTTCCCTTTGGCTGGAGGTATAAACTAATCTGAATAGAGAAAAATATTTTAATTTACTGAACTTTTCTTGTAACTTTTGATTGAAAGGTTCTTCCAAATGATCCAGTCTTTCTTGAGCCTCATGAAGAAATGACACTCTGCAAATACTATGAGAAAAGATTATTGGAATTTTGTTCAGTGTTTAAGCCAGCAATGCCGAGGTCTGTGGTGGTAAGTTATGATAGTGGTGAAGTATAATGTCTTTTGGCTGACTTCTGAAATAGGACCTCTTTTAAATTTGTAACTCAATCGTGTATCTACTTCATTGGGGAATGCAGCTTAGTTACATAAACATATAATTTATGTATTGAAGTTTTTGTCACATTATATATTTTTCAATAACTGTCTTAAATTATGAATTCCTATATCATATCTTGTGAAGGTTTCAGGTCTCATTTCGTAGTCAGAAGAATCTTGAGGTCTGCTAGATAGGCCATGACATCCTTATTTTATAGAGAAAGAAAAAAATTACATTTCCTCCAGGTTCTCAGTTAATGAGTAGAACTGGAACCAGAACACACACTAGTTTGTGCTTTTTCAGCAGTATCACTCACGTTTGAAATAATGCAGTAATTCATCATTTGTAGTCCAAAGATCCCTAACTGAAGCTTGTGCCATAAGAAGTTTTTAAACCTGATTAGTAGAAGCTGGAGATTTTTTTTGGGTAAAATATTGTCTTGTGATTGTTGCAGATAATATGGTTCTGAGGACCCCATTCGTGTATGTGTGTGTGTGTGTGTGTGTATTGTGGTGGGGCAATGGTGAGGAGAAACAGGTAGAATTTTTTGGCTATGTAGATTTACAGACACTGTCTCTATAATTGTTCCTATTGTGTGTATTCTTTTTTATAGAAGATAAGCTGAGATTTAAAAACAAAGATACAGAAAAAAGGAGTATAAAATATTTTTTCCTTATTATCTGATTTTTCGTGAAGATCAAATATGAAAGTCTCTTAATTGAAAATCGGCCTTAAGTTTTAAAGTCATACAGAGTGAATAACTTAGAACACAGTAGGGAATAACGCCCTAGGGAATAATCTCCATTTTTGTAGTTGAAAAAATTGAAGTTTATTGAAATTATGAAGTCCAAAAGTATTCGTAGTGTCTTCCTAGTTTATCAGACCTTTATCTGAGAGATCAAAGATTCAGGAAGAATTTTAGATATACTTGATAATTTTCTATCTCCAGAGTACTCTAACATAAGGTAGTAGGTTTCTTCATTTTTTCAGATGAAGAAACTGAGTCCTTGAATAAACTTCTTTGTGGAACTTGTCTTTATACAACATGCTTATTTATAATTGATGAAGAATTTGGTTTTTGTTTCACATAAAATGACATAAAATATTTAAAAGGAAATATTCTTTTTTTTTTTTCTATCTTGAAATAGATAAATGTTAATTCATTGGTTCTAGCCAGATGACAGTGGTTAAAAGTACAGGCAAGTCTTTGTTGAATCTAGCCCTGTGCCTTGTTAAGATGTGTGACTTTTAACAAGTCAGTTAACCTCATTGATACTCAGTTTCCTTCTCTGTAGAGTGAAGATAGCAGTGCTTCATCAGCTGTTGTAAGGATTAAATAAAATGGTAATTTTGTGCTTGGCACAGAGCCTGGCACATGGATACAGTCAGTAAACAGTAGGTGCTGCTTCTACTCTTTGGTTTGGGAGCAGCGATCATGGTTCATATCACAGATCTGGAGTAGATTTAGAAAGAATGCTTATTGCCGCAACTGTGTTATATTCAATGTTTTTACAAGATTGGTTAAGCTGTGAACATTAGTATTTTTCCTCCTTAAATTTTTATAATTTGGACCATTTTTGTTAATCTGAATTCTAAAATAAACACAACATTTTTTTAATAAGCAAATAACCATAGGAAGGATAACCCAGCGTGGGTGGTAAAAGACAACAGAAGGTTTTTTTGGCTGTGAATTAAGTTTTAAGAATTAAGAATAACAAAGAATTAAGTTTTGTTATTTTGTATGAATAACTTTTTCAAAGGAGCTTTTTTTAAATTGAGGTGACATTGGTCATTAAGATCATGTAGGTTTTCAAGTGTAAATTTCTGTGATACATGATCTGTACATTGTGTGCCCACCACCCAAAGTCAGTTTATCTTCTGTTACCGTATAGTTGACCCCTTTTACCCTTTGCTACCCCTCGGCCCCCTTTCCTCTGGTAACTACCCTACTGTTGTCTATGTCTATGAGTTTCAGTTTTATATCCCACATATGAGTGATACCATATGGCTTTTAGCTTTTTCTGACTGACTTATTTCGGTTCGCAATAATATTCTCAAAGTCCATCCATGTTGTCACAAATGGCAGTATTTCATCTTTTCTTATGGCTGAGTGGTATTTCATAGTATATCTGTACCATTATCATCTTTATTCAATCCTGTTGAAGGACACTGGTTGTTTCCATGTCTTGGCCACCATGAATAATGCTGCAGAGAACATAGGGGTGCATATATCTTTGCAAATAAATGTTTTTGAAGAAACTTTTGACAAGTGTAATATATGTGTGAATAGATTCTGATAATATTCATATTTTTAACCTTAGGGTACAGCTTGTATGTATTTCAAGCGTTTTTATCTCAATAACTCTGTAATGGAGTATCACCCTCGGATAATCATGTGAGTATAAGTCTTCCTTATACTACTTGTGTGTGTGTATGTGTGTGTGTGTGTGTGTGTGTAAACGACTTCCTAGTAAAGGGTAATTTAGACTTGCATTCTATTCTGAACTTAANAAGCGACTTCCTAGTAAAGGGTAATTTAGACTTGCATTCTATTCTGAACTTAAGATCCCTGAGTATAATTTATATACCTGTAATACTTCCTTGTAATACTGATGGCATCTGAACTCTAACTTGTCCAAATTCAAATTGTGGGGTTTTTTTTTAAGCTAGCTCCCCTTTCAGTTAGTGGCACCTTTCTTCTCCCAGTTGCTGAGTGAGAATCATTAGTGGTGACTCCTGTCTTTCTCCATCCAGTTAGTTTACAAATCCTATAGGTCCATATTCATTTAAATTGAACAAAAGTCTTTGTGTTTCTGTTTTCTGCTGAACACTATTCTTATCATTAAAGATAAAATTGAATGAGACTCATCAAAGAGCTTGCTGTCAACCACATTGTTCCTCTTTGTTTTTTCTCCTTTTGATTCCCATTTCCACTAATCTAGGTCAGGCCCTTGTTACTTCCAGTCTTGATTTTTGTGGTAATTTTATTACTAGTGTCTCACTCTGAAATTTATATAGTAGTGATGAGAGTTGCATAGGTTTGTTCGGAAGTTAATAATCCCCTATTCAGATACCCTTGGAGACTTCACTGATGGGCCTTCCACAAAGGTAGTTCTTTAACCTGCCTTTTATCCCATGCTTCTGTAGTACATATGTGTGTACTGTTGTATTTTTTCTCTCCCATCCATATTTCATGATAGAAGGTACTCCTATTCCTTAATTATTTTGTTCTTCTAGATCTTTAGGTTGAACTATATGAAACTGGCAGTAAGTCAGTAATGGTTGAATGCTGTTGTGTTTGGCACGGTTCAATCTAATTTTATAGTCTCCTATGGATTAAAGCTTTGAACAAAACTATATCTCTTTTTAAATATTCTGGGATGTCTACTGTAGTCACTTGTGAATATTAGGCAATTTTAGAATGTAGTTTTAGAAATAAAATATTGAGATATTTTTCAAAGTATATACATATCCCTGGTTGTGTGTGTGAGAAAATTGCTTCCTAGGGAAGGGTAATTAGCCTTGCATTCTATTCTGAATTTAACGTGCCTCATTATATTCTTTATATTTTCCTCTAGGCTCACTTGTGCATTTTTGGCCTGCAAAGTAGATGAATTCAATGTATCTAGTCTGCAATTTGTTGGAAATCTACGGGAGAGTCCTCTTGGACAGGAGAAGGCACTTGAACAGATTTTGGAATATGAACTGCTTCTTATACAGCAACTTAATTTCCACCTTATTGTCCACAATCCTTATAGACCATTTGAGGGCTTTCTCATTGATCTAAAGGTAATCTTGATATAAACTAGTAGTGTGTACTCTTTTGCTATCATTTTGTAAGCAAAAGAATCCAAAATTTTATCAGACCTTTTAATTATCTTAATTGTTACAACATGGGCTCAGCTAAAATGTGAGTGTGGCCTGGTCCTCTAGGGCAATAATTCTCAAACTTCAGTCTGCATCAGGAATCACCTGGAGGGCTTGTTAACTTATTCTTGCGCTGCAGTTCCAGAGCTGCTCATTTAGTAGATCTGCAAGTACTGATCCAGGGTTCATAATGAGGACCATTGTGAATTTAGAGTAATACTTTTAAAAACTTAAGATAACTCTTATAACTCTGAAGTATACTGTCATAGGTCTGATTTAAAGAACCATTAAAAAAAAATGCTTAATTTTAAACTAGAAGGTTGTTAAGTGACTTCTAGTTTTAGTGCATTATGGACAGGAATCAAAATGTAGGCATAAAAAAAAATGTAAGTAAGTTAGTATCAACAGAAACAACTTAGTTTTTACCCTGAAAGAGGAGTTGGATAGTCTGAGTGAAGTCAAACCGGAATCAGAAACTGATTCATCTCATTTGAAAGGTGAAATTTGGATACCTTTCATATGCCAAACATTGCACTTGATGATGAAGCCAGGAACAAAACAGGAACAGCCTCAACATTTATACACTTTACATTCTAATGGGGAAAATGATCATATATTCAGTGTGCTTGGTGTTACAGAGAGGAAAATACTTTAGAAGGATATAGCAGACAGGAAGGGAAGACAGTTTGGAGAAAGTGTCATTTTAAAGTGAAGTTCATAGCAAGAGTAGGAATTCGGTAGTGAAAAAGCATCCCAGTACAACTTCTGTGGTCAGAGGCTCAGATTAAAGAATCATGGTGCACTAAAGAACCTAAACAGCGTAGAGATGGAAGACTGCCACAGAGTGCTGCCTGTGTGAAAGGCAGGGCTAGTAGTGTGAAGGTGATGTTAAGGATTTTGAATAGAGCAGTGGTAAGCCAGTGAAAGGTTTAAGTCTGGAGAGGGTCAAATTAGGTTTACAACTTTAAATAAATCATGTTTGCAAGCTCACGCATCAATTTCCATCAAATATTTATTGCATACCTGTATGTGTCGTGATAATGTGGAGAATGGATTAGAATGGATGAAAGGATACCGGTATTGTGCTGTTACTTTGACTCATGTAGCAGCAGGGGGTACAGAGAAAGCTTATTGGACTTCAGAGATAGTAGGCAGAATCAGTAGAGCTTGAGGTTTAATTACATATAGAGAGTGACAACAGGTGAGGAACCCCCCCCCCCCC